GGGGGGGGGGGGGGGGGGGGGGGGGTCCAGGGTGCTAATTATAACTTTTTGTTGGTGAGTTGGTATGGACCATCTTATATGGTAGGATTCTTGAGAAATCAACTTCAATGACATCAAAAAATTGCATAAGCCCATGTATAAGTTAAGCCCATGTAGGCATAAGTCTTGTCTGAGTCACCAGGAGAGTGGAGATTTACATCAATTAAAGAAATTTCTTATCCACTCAAGAGAATACCAGAGGTATACACTGGTACTCCATAGGCGTTTGCACCGAAGAGTTAATTTATTATTAGTCCACCTTGGTAGTAATGGAGGAACTTTATGTAATATTTTACCAAGGGGACATGCATCTAGGTATAATAATTATTAGCCATGACCCGTGGGATCATACTATAGGCACTGCTGTATACGTGGCAAGAAATAATGCTTGCAGTGGGAATAATTGAGTTCTCTGTTTATATAATAAGAGTATTGGGATATAACGTACCCAGTACCCAGCGACTGAAGGATTAGTTCTGGACTCCAATGGCAATGACGATTTGTACACATATTCTTGCACAAATTAATACATTTGAGACTTTTTCATTTACCAGTACATCTGTAAATTAAAACATTCTTTTTAAAGAAAGTTTTACGATGAAAAGTATTCTAGTGACATCTATCGCAATGTATTTTCTATGTTGGGTGTCAAACCATGTTTTTTTCTGCTTTACCTCATTATCATGCAGCCTCAGGTCATTACGAAGAAGACAAACAATAACTTTGACTTTAGATGACATCTTCAAAGTTCCGCCAATTTGCTATTTATCTTCTTACGTTGCCCTACCGCTCAGTATGATTTCCAAAATTTGGCTGTTATGAAACACATTTCCCACGTGCACTGGTGTTGTACAACCGGTATTTTTCGGGTTTTACCATAGAGAATGAGCATAAAAAGATAACCGCATGTTCCGAAGTTAATGTTTACGAAACAACTAAGGGAAGCTACTCTTACTAAAAGGATGTTGTTATACTTCTCTTCTACTTCTAAATGGTACTGACCAACTTCAACAATTTGAAGATAAAATGTCAGACGAGGAGTGAAACATGGAAAGAGATTGTTTTTAAAAGATACGAGATGGTGCTAATTTGCGTTTGAAAAGTGACGGTAGAGGGCTGATTTGAATAATTCCGTTGTGGGGCTCGAAATATTGTCAGGTGGGAGTTTATTCCGCGGTTATACGTATCAACCCATCCAAGATGGCGGCACGGGTCAGAGGTCATAGGGGAAAAAAATATCGCGCCAATGTAAACAAATTTGACAGTTGGAGATGAGACGGGTCTCGCATGAGACATGATTTAGATTTACACTTACTTTTTGTATTGAACGTTATATATACTTTATAGACAACGGATCCTAATGATCAGAATCTAACTTTAGATGATTTTATAACATGGAAACTTCCCGATTTACGTGATTTTTTTTACCAAGCGCGGTTTGTCAAAAGACGGAAGCAAGAACATTTCAAATGGCTGTCGGCATTATGTTTTGCTGCATTTACGATTAAGCTACCACTTGTCTGTAGCAATGTGGATTGTACACGCTCTGTATTTACTTGTTACCTATTCTGTAATGTACATTATTAATATAGTACGTAGATTCCGTAATTGTCTGGATCACTTGACGATAACGTGGTATATAAGTACGTTAACAATATATTAATGTTATTTTTACTAGTTAGTTTTATAGATATTGTTTATGATTTTTTAATTGGCTACGTTGATTAATTACATCGCCGATATATAATGATTAAAATTTCTATCAACGGACATTTACGAACTATCTCGGCCAATCACAATCAAGCGGTCAGTTCAAAAGTAAATTCCTGGTTAGCGGTGAGCGGTTTCAGATTAGACAGCTGGTCATTCGGACGTACAAATGTAATTGGAATATATTCAAGCTCACCGATTTCCGACAAGGAATATAAGAAATACGCTGTTCGATATTACTCAATGTAGGAAAACAGTGAATTCGTGAATTCCTCTAAACCTTCCTTAGGACAAATGCCTGTGTGACATGAACAACGAATAAATGGAATATGGACATGATACACAGGTGTATGTGTTTATTTCTACATACGACATTTTGGCGTCAAGGACAGGATTATTAACAACAGGCATTTGAGAGGTGATATCACGGCTTCCGGTATGGCGTACCTGTCGGACTCATGGATACATATGATTGGATGTCTTGGTGGACTTCCGGTATGACGTACCTGGTGGACATTGGATACTAGTGATTGGTTGGACAGTTTAACAGTTCCAAGGGTGTAAAGAACTTAGTGACTTTTACTTACCTTTATAGATAGTGTCTTATATTTTCATGAACTTGGTAGTTTTGAGAAATTGGTAAGTTAGTATTTTCCGTTATAACCTGCACGTATTGAGATAACTAGTGTTTCAATTTTTATTTGCCTGTATTATTATTTTGTTGTTGTTGTGTATGCGTATAGTATTCATGACCGAATCCAAACTTGGATAGTTTTTGACCAGGCCTTTCAATAAACCTAATTCGGATCGGACACAGCATAGCGTGGCCATAGTCTTGAGCGACAGCAAGGCGTCGTACATCAAGGATCACTTAGAGGATCATAACATTAACATTTTGTGGTGGTAAAAAGGTGGAGCAAAGACCTCAAGTCAACTTGCATTTCTCAAGCAACGTTTACCCTCTGTTCTGGACAAGTATGATCATGTTACGCTCTATGTTTGGTTGGCAACATGTGACCTTAGCAGGAAGATCCCATTAAAGAACATCCTAGAACTTGCGCACAGTACATCGGAGTAGGCGTTAAGTGACATTCAAACAGAATATTCAAAATTTGTGGATTACTGCGACAAACTGTCAAAAGTGACATTAGTGTTCCTAGAACTGCCACATTATTCCATTTCGCAATGGAATCATACTTAGTGTCATACAACTATAGAGGAATATAAACAGTAGGATCAGGAATTATTGGTCAGAGTCAACGTAGTAAACGCTCATATTCGGATCCTAAACTCAGCTACTGGCATTACCTCACCAAAATTTGCGTCGGATGTACTAAACAACAGGAAGAGCAAGGGAAAACAACATTATTACTCGCTCAATCGGAAACTGTTAAAGGATGGAGTACACCCAATACCACGGTTAGCCTGTGTGTGGATGAGACGTTTGCTTGTTCGCATGTACATTGGCTGTTTCCGTTAACGATTCTACGTGAGCATACGGGGCGAGGGGTTTTGTATTGGTTGTTATGTGGGATGCTTCTCGCTACTTCCGGTGTATTACTTCTTAAATCTGTGTGATCTTGACGGAATATTAAGTTATTGCAAACGGACAGTAGTAAAATGGCGGATATGGAGGAATTAGCGACAGAGTTGAAGAAATTAAGGGAGAAAGTTGAACGGATAGACGCCGAGACTGCGAACGCTGAAAGGTTAGAGAAAGAACTCTTGAAGACAAAACAAGAACTGGAAATTTATGCAAGTTCTTCTAAGACTGTATACATCAACAAGAACATGAAACTGGAGAAATTCTCGGGTAGACCTGTTAAAGATACGGATCCTACAGCGGAGGAATGGATAGAGGATGCTGTACACCATCTGAAAACTATCACCGGAAGTGACGCTCAAGTGGAATTTCTATATGCTCACTTACAAGGACAAGCTAAAGATGAAATACGTATTAGGTCAGAAACCGAAAAGTCCTCAGCAACCCAAATTTTGGACATCATCAGAACAACATTTCAAGAGGCAGAGACTGTTGGACAGCTACAACAACGGTTTTATCAAAGAAATCAAAACAAAGGAGAGACATTACAGGAATATTCATTGGTGTTATTAAAAATTATGGACAGAATTGTAAAGAAAGATAGATATATAGTTGGTGATAGAGACTTGATGCTGAAAGAACGATTTACAGATGGTGTAGTCGATACCCAGCTGAGACGGGAAATGAAAAGATACATGTTTGAACACAGGGAAGTATCATTTACGGACTTTAGGCATTTGGTGCTTCGTTGGACAGAGGATGAAACTACACCAGTTCGCTCTAAAAGCGCTTCTGCTTCGGAACAGGAAGTTAGCGTTACTAGTGATGAACTCAAAGCTAAAGAATCCTTTTCTCCATCAGCATTACCGGCCATGTTGCAGAGCCAACAAGAACTGCTTGCGAAACAACAGCAGCAATTAGACGCGCTAACGCAGATGATTGGAGGCAGGTCCGAAACTTTCCCTAAAGGAACTGGTCGAGGCAGAGGCAGAGGGGCTTTTAAATGTTACAACTGTGGAGGTCGTGGCCACATAAGTAAGGAATGCCCAACTGAACGGAAACCAAGACAACAACAAAATGGCGAATATAAATCTCACGAAAAGCAGGATACCGGCAAGCAGGATTTAAACGCCCAGAACCCACTGTAGGGAGTCGGACAGTGGGGGACGACTTTCTTGACTCCAGAATAAAGCGGACCGTTTTTAAGAACGCTGTTGGTGAATGTCCGGAGTTGGATATACTAATAGAAGGTGAAAAAGTTAGATGCTTGCTTGATACTGGATCACAAATTTCGACCATAACAGAAAGCTTCTTCGGGAAACTTGTGGGGAAGAAATCCGAGTTGATAGACGTAACCAAGTGGATGCGAGATACCGGTGCAAATGAATTGGAGGTTCCATACATTGGATATGTAGAGGTCGATATTGACATTGTTGATCGGAAGTTATCTGGAGTTATTATCGTCGCTATGTCAAAGGATTCTCGGGAATTGCTGCGCCATTACACGAATTACTCACAAAGCAGGACAAAAAGGGAAGGAAACGGTCATCAACGACAGATAAACGTCATTTCACTGAGAAATGGGACGACAAAACAGAGAAGGCATTTCAAACTTTGAAACAACGGTTAACCGAAGCACCGATACTAGGCTATCCGGATTTTCGAAAGGAGTTCATTGTCGAAACGGATGTTAGTTATGATGGACTTGGAGCTGTATTATCACAGGAACAAGGACAGAAAAGGGTAGTCATTGCATACGCTTCACAAAGTCTAAGACCGTCAGAGAGAAATATGGACAACTACAGTTCGATGAAGTTAGAACTATTGGCCATGAAATGGGCGATCACTGACAAATTCAGGGATTATTTGCTAGGACGATCGTTTACCGTTTACACCGACAACAATCCTCTGAGTTATCTCAAAACCGCCAAATTAGGAGCAACGGAAATGCGTTGGGCTGCACAACTAGCACAGTTTGATTTTGTCATCAAATATCGTTCTGGGAAGTAGAATACAAACGCTGATTCACTCAGTAGGAAATCTAAATCGGAGGAGGAAACCGACGTCCTATTACAAAACGCGACTAAAACAACATGCGTGACAAATGAACTACACACCGTTGACGTCATGGATGCATCAGTTACGGTAACAACAAACCAACAACTTGCAACAACGTTAACATTTCCTGAGTACTCTAGGACGGACCTCCATTCACGACAACTAAATGATGATAATATCGCAATCGTCTGGAAATGGTGGAAAACGGGACACAAACCAACAGAACGGCAATTACGACAAGAACCAAATCTCGCTCGTAAGATATTACGGAAGTGGGATCGACTGATTGAGGAGGATGGAATTCTATGGTACAAAATTATGGATCCAGAAATTGGCACTAACTTTCTTTTCGTTACACCCGAATCGATGAGACCTCAAATTCTGGAATCGTTGCACAACTTATCCGGTCATCAGGGAATGGAACGCACTGTGTCGTAAGTTAAAAAAAACGATGTTACTGGCCTGGATTGGAAAGCGACGTTCAGAAGTGGATAAAACAGTGTGAGCGTTGCATGGTTGCAAAGATGCCCGTACCGACAATCAAACCACCGATGGCGCATCTCTTGGCTT